GACCACTTCCGTATCACGGAATCAAACCGTGGTGGGCATGGCTCGAAGCATGATGAAGGCAAAGAGCATGCCGGCGGAGTTTTGGGGAGAGGCTGTGAGCACGGCAGTGTTCATCCTCAACCGCGTGATGACGGATCGTGTTTTTATCTATACGTGGGTTGTGAATAAACGTGCACTAGGGCCTTCGTTTATCCACGATAGGTGTATCTAACAGACGCACTTCGGCCTTCTCCTAGACACCGTGACTTCAAGACGCTCTAATGGCCTTCTTTCCGACACTGTATGTAAACACGCACTAACGCCCTTGTTTAAACACACGTAAGAACAACAGTTCCCCCTCACAATTGGCTCACCAATTCAAGACTCAACATTCAACTCCTTTTTCTAATAATGATGAGGTACATGGGGTATTTATAGGTGCATAAAATAAATCTGGGCTTAAATAAACTGGATCTCCTAAATCTTGCAATAATAGAAATGCTAATACTAGAAAGCAATAAAATCCTACTATTACCAAAATACTAATGCTTGGCTTGCACACCAAGCAAATCTAGAAGCTCCAAACTCTCGCACGCCCCAAACCGTTCGGTCGCCTCTCGCGCGTGTCCCGCGTCGCGCACGCCTCTCTTGCCTAATCCTCGCGGGCCGCGGATTTGCTGGTGTCCGCCCCTCCACGCGCGCGCAGATGCGCGCGCTTCCTGCTTGCGCGTCCCGGCTGGCGCGTCCCAGCCCAACGCCCCTATCGCGCCTACTCCTTCCGCATCTAGGCATGCGCCCGTGTGTGCCTTCCACTCGCGCGCCATCGCGCTCTTCACGTCCCTGCCCGCTGCCTTGCGCGCGTCCCTTCGTGCGCCCATCACTCCTATGCCTTCGCGGACTAGGCTGTCGCCCATCACCCCGTGCGTCCCGTTAATGCCCGCGCTTGCACGTTCACACCCGATCGTCGCCTGCGCATCACCCATCGATGCGCCCTTTTTGCCCATTAGCCTCTCAACCTTATTCGATCCAAGGGTGTCGATACCCACTTCCGTATCATTCCCCTCTTCAAGACGTTCCTTGTCCTCAGGGATAAGAAAATTCAGCTTCCGAACTCGACCATCCTCTTCATCATCGTCAGGTGACTCGCCTGGATCCTCAGTCCTCAACTTGACCCTCTTACTCGATCTCCCGAACTCCATAGTTCCTTTCCAATAATCAGTTGTGATTGGACCCAGAGTCTCCAACCACTGGCATCCAAGTACTATATCAGTCGCCTTCAATGGCAAGGCATATAAATCCACTCTCATCTTTTGACCTTGAGTCTCCATCTTTACACCCTTGAAGAGAATATTCCCTCGGAGTGTTTCTCCGTTTGCTACTTTGACTCCAAATGGTTTTACCTTGGTGAATGGAATCTCAATTTCCTTGGACAGCTCCTCATCAATGAAGTTTAGCGTAGACCCACTATCAACCAATACTTCCACAAATTTGCCCCTAATTTCAGCCGTGAATGTGATCATCTTTGGACCACGTTTCTTGCTCTTAACCATATGCAACAAGGACTCCTCCTGCGGTTTTTCCTCTTCGCAATCATCCCCAATTTCTAACAAAAATACTTCCTTACTCTTGCACTTGTGGCCTGGTATGAATTTTTCATTACACGAATAACGAAGGCATTTTTCTCGTCGTCGCTGCATCTCTTCATCAGTCAAACGCCGTATGTTGCTCGTTGTTCGAACAGCTTCGCCCAACGGCTTGTTCTCGGTTCTCGCCGCTGGTTCCTCGGTCGCGGCGTGCGTGCGCTTGGTCTCTGTGCGCACGTCGCTCGGCCTGGCCTTGCGTACTGCCATCAGATGATCCTCATGTAGTCTCGCCGACTCCATGGCTGCTTGCATCGATCCTGGCCTATCCAACCTTACTTCTGCCGCTAACTCAGCCTTAAGTCCTCCAACAAACGTCCCCACTAGCGCACTCTCGGGCCAATCCCGCACCCTACTAGCAATCCGCTCGAACTCCTTTTGATACTCCCTTAGGCTACCAACTTGCTTAATTCTAGACAAAGCCTCATTGTAATCGTGGTAGTCACTCGAGCCAAATCTCGTGATGAGCTCTTTTTCAAAATCCTTCCAACGCATGTGCTCACCATGGTTCTTGTGCAAAACCCATTGCCACCATACGTTTGCTTCTCCATCAAGATGATAAGCAGCAATTTGAACTCTTTCGTACCTTGGCACGT